ACCAGATGGATTCACAGCCAAATTCTACCAGAGGTACAAAGAGGAGCTGGTACCATTCCTTCTGAAGCTATTTCAAACAATTGAAAAGAAGGGACTCCTCCCTAACTCATTTTATGAGGCCAGCATTATCGTGATACCAAAACCTGACAGAGACACAATAAAAATAGAAAACTTCAGGCTAACATCCCAAATGAACACTGATGTGAAAATCCTTAATAAAATATGGCAAATCCAGCAGCACATCACAAAGTCTATCCACCACTGTCAAGTGGGATTCATCCCTGAGATGCAAGGCTGGTTCAACATATGTAAATCTATAAATGTAATGCCTCATGTAAACAGAACCAATAACAAAACCCTATGATTTTTGTTATTGGTTCCATCTATGATTATCTCAATAGATGCAGAAAAGGCCTTTGATAAAATTCAACATCCCTTCATGTTAGAAACTCACAATAAACGAGGCATTGTTGGAACATATCTAAAAATAATAAGAGCTATTTATGACAAACCCACAGCCGATATCATACTGAATGGGCAAAAGCTGAAAGCATCCCCTTTGAAAACTGGCACAAGGCAAGTTTGCTCTCTCATCACTTCTAGTCAACATAGTATTGGAAGTTCTAGCCAGAGCAGTCAGGCAAGAAAAAGACATAAAGAGTATTTAAACAGAAAGAGAGAAAGTCATATTGTCTCTGTTTGCAGATGACATGATTCTATATTTAGAAGTTTAGAAAATCCCATTGTCTCAGTCCCAAAACTCCTTAAGCTGATAAGCAACTTCAGCAAAGTCTCAGGATACAAAAATCAATGTGCAAAAATTACAAGCATTCCTATACACTAACAATGGACATGCAGAGAGCCAAATCATGAGTGAACTCCCATTCACAATTACTACAAAGAGAATAAAATTCCTAGGAATACAGCTAACAAGGGATGTGAAGGACCTCTTCAAGGAGAACTACAAACCACTTCTCAAGGAAATCAGAGATGACACAAACAAATGGAAAAACATTCCATCCTCATATTGATTCTCAGGAAGAATCAATATTGTGAAAATGGCCCTACTACCCAAAGTAATTTGTAGATTCAATGCTATTTCCATCAAATTACCATTGATATTCTTCACAAAGCTAGAAAAAAACACTTTAAATTTCAATGGAAACAAAAAAGAGCCCACATAGCCAAAACAATCCTAAGCAAAAAGAACAAATCTGGAGGCTACCTGACTTCAAACTATACTATAAGGCTACAATGACCAAAACAGCATGGTACTGGTACCAAACAGACACACGGACCAAAGGAACAGAACAGATAACTCAGAAATAACATCACACATCTACAACCATCTGATCTTTGACAAACCTGACAAAAACATGCCATAGGGAAAGGATTCCCTAGTTAATAAATGGTGCTGAGAAAACTGCTAGCCATATGCATACAACTGAAACTGGGCCCCTTTCTTACACTTTATACAAAAATTAACTCGAGATTGATTAAAGACATAAATGTAAATCCCAAAACCATAAAAACCCTAGAAGAAAACCTAGGCAATACCATTCAGGACATAGGCATGGGCAAAGACTTCATGACGAAAACACCAGAAATAATAGTAACGAAAGCCAAAATTTACAAATGGGATATAATTAAACTAATGAGCTTCTGCATGGAAACAAAACAAAACAAACAAACAAAGAAAAATTAGTATCACAGTGAACAGGCAACCTGCAGAATGGGAGAAATTTTTTGCAGTGTATCCACCTGACAAAGATCTAGTATCGAGAACCTACGAGGAACTTAACCAAATTTACAAGTAAAAAACAACCCATTAAAAACTGGGCAAAGGATATAACAGACATTTCTCAAAAGAAGACATCTAGGTGGCCAACAAACATGAAAAAAAGCTCAACATCACTGATCATTAGAGAAATGCAAATCAAAACCACAATGAGATACCACCATCTCATGCCAATCATAATGGCAATTCTTAAAAAGTCAAGAAACAATAGATGCTGATGAGGGTGTGAAGAAACAGGAACACTTTTACACTGTTGGTGGGCATGTAAGTTAGTTCAACCATTATGCAGGACACTGTGGTGATTCCTCAAGGATCTAGAACCTGAAATACCATTTGATTCAGCAATACTATTACTAGATATATACCCAAAGTAATATAACTTATTCTACTATAAAGTCATAGGAACATGTATGTTTACTGCAGCACTATTCACAATAGCCAAAGACTTGGAACCAACCCAAATGCCCATCAGTGATAGACTGAATAAAGAAAATGTGGCACATATACACAATGGAATACTATGCAGCCATTAAAAGGAATGAGATCATGTCTTTTACAGGGACATGGATGAAGCTGAAGCCATCATCCTCATCAAACTAACCCAGGAACAGAACCAAACACTGCATGTTCTCACTCATAAGTGAGAGTTGAACAATAAGAACACATGGACACGGGGAGTGGAACATCACACACTGGGGCCACTTGGGGGATGGGGGGCAAGGGGAGGGAGAGCATTAGGACAAATAGCTAATGCATGCAGGGCTTAAAACCTAGATAATTGGTTGATAGGTGCAGCAAACCACCATAGTACACATATACCTATGCAACAAACCTACACATTCTGCACTTGTATCCTGGAACTTGAAATAAAATAAATTAAAAAAAAAAAAAGAAATAAAAGAAAGTATTATCTAGCCTACCAGATATATATTCCATTAGTATTTTAACCTTTAATAACTCAGACTCTATACTAAGAAAAGTGCCCGAATGCAGTGGTGCCATCATGGCTCACTGCAGCCTCTACCTCCCTGGAATCCAGTGATCCTCCCACCTCAGCCTCCTGCATAGCTGGATCTATAGGCACACACCACCATGCTCTACTAATTTTTGTATTTTTGTAGAAAGAGGGTTAACCATGTTGTGCTTGAACTCTTGGGACTCAAGCCATCTGCCTGCCTTATCCTCCCAAAGTGCCAAAACTTTTGGAAAAGCTTTTGAAAGATTATTTAGTGAAGTTTAAAACAAGTGCATTCTAGACTTTTCTCCAAATGTATTTTGGTATCAAAATCCATAATAAAAAATAGTTGCTCATAAGATAAATTTTCCTGTGGCTACAATCTCTATCCAAAGTGAAAACAAATTAAAATTTCCTTTTAATGCTATTGACTTTTTTTTTTTTTAAAGAACATACATTCACTCACTTGACAAGAATTCATTGGATATCTATTATGTGCTCTGAATCATGATAGGGATTCAAGATGAAAGTCAACTACATTTTAATTTATTGAAATGTTAAATCTGCATAAGAATTTGGTGGAAAGATGTTTTTGCATGTTTAATTGTAGTCAACTGTTTGCTCTAAACTTTCTTGAAAAATTCTCTTAGTTCACTATTTTAAAATCAGGAGGATTCAGTTTTAGTGCTAAATATTCACTGTTTGCCACATTTTAAAATTGATTAGTATGTGTGTTTTTTAAAATTGGTTAGTATGTATGCTGAACAGGATTTTCCTTGTTAAGTAACTTTCCACAACTGAATTAAGGTGCTAGAAAGTTTCTTCCAGAGCTCCCAGAATCATTTTTTAAGTACTGAAACCATTTATAAATCACCACTCCTCCATAACTATTAAAAATTACTTTCATAAAGCCACGCATAGTGTCAGGAAAATGGATTCATTAGTACATAAAAAAAGAAGCTCTTAAAATAAATGCTCTCCTAGTTTTCAAATATGTTTTAACAAAATATGCATATTTTGTTAAATAACTTTTTATTGTTTTCAATAAATAGTTGAATTTGCCCTATTTTCTGCTAAATAATTGTCTTCTTTTACATAGCTTTCAATATATAAGAATAAACACAAATATGTCTGCTATTATATTAGGGTACCTGCACACACAAATAAACGAATACACCCAAGCACAAAGACTCCCTCCCCTTGTGGCTTACTCTAAATTACCAGTTTAATATTGTCTTCATAGGGTGCAGCCAAGGAGTGTCAAGCTGGAAGCTTGCCTCAATTACAGCACTGGATTAAAAGGCAGCAGGAAGTGCCAAGGCTTTACTAGAGTATAATTGTTGGTGCTTTCATTGCAGAACCAATTAAATAAATTGTTTTAAATTGTCCTTCAAAAAGTCATAACTTCCATAAATAATTAGGCAGGGAAATTATTTTATTTTAAAAGACTTAATTTGAAATAAAGTATAGCAAAGATTTGTTTGTACATTTTGCCAAGAGTTGGTTGCATTTTGTTGTTAGAAAGTACTACATAGTTGTAAAGCACCTGAGAAGGTGGCATAGGTATATTGATTAACTTCTCTATAAAATAGATATAGTCTCTCCTTTCATGTAGATGAAGGATATTTTTCATGGTGAAAAATATTTGTAATTCTTTTGGTCTCAGTTGAGGAGTGAACTATTTTCGCTTTTGCCTTAAATAGCTGAAAAGTGTCAGCTATTTCCTATGGGAGCATGCTCTTAGGGAATAATTAAGATTAGGTTATACATATAGTACAACGGTTTCACATTTTCAATTTTAGGACTCTTAGTAACTATAAGATATTGAGTAAATAAAAACTTTAAATACATATTATTTCTTTTGCCTCATACTGCTCTTTTTGTCTTGAATATTATTCCATCACTCTTTTCTTTTGCCTATTTCCACACTTTGCTTATGTATCAGCCCCAGTGAAACCCTCAGAGAAGACCCCTCTGATCCATTAAACCTGTGCAGGTTCCTTTACTATACATGCTCAAGTTGCCTGTTTTTCTCACTACTAGCATTTAGCACAATTGTAATGAAATTGTTAACTTTGCAATTAGTTTAGTGTGTTTCTTCTGTTACACAGCCACTGTACTATATAACATTCATGTAGTTATCTTGGTGAAATATAGAACCTTTAATAATAAAGAAAGATTAAGCAGTATTTGTTCAACCATATTTATGTAATAAGATATTATATTAGATCATTTCTGGTTTCTTTATCAGCTGAAAAGTGATGCTTTGGAATTCAGGACAGGCACACCTGCATACAGACTTTGCAACAGGGATGCACTTGTTGCATTAGATCCCAGTTCGTTGCCTGATCCAGTCAAGGTAGGCGGTCACTCGAGTATATACTCCTGGCTTATCTGGCAGGCCACACTCCTCTCCCCAGCTTACTATCCCCACAAGAAACCAAAGCCGTCGTGAGTCTTCTTGTACTAGCGGGCCACCAGAGTCACCCTGTAAAAAAAAAAATGACTGATTACTTAAGTGCAAAGACAAACCCAAAATATTAAGGAGTTTCTATGGCAGTCAAGGAAGCAGTCACATCCATTATATGAATAAAGCCAGACTATTTCCTTTTGAAATATTATACCAAGTGGTGGAAAAATTACTGAAATCCTCAAAGTACCCAAGTTATTCCTTCAGCAAGTCTGAGAAGATGGGAAGTAACATTTCTCAGATTTCCCTCAGTCACTGCCTGGTTGTTTCCTACTCATCCAGGCTTTCTCTCCTTCAGGAAACCTCTGACCAACACTTTTCCTTTCCACTCTCACCGTTCCCAGCTTTGGGCTCAGTTGTTCTCCACTGCGTCCTTACATCCTGTGTGTGTCTCTGTCATTGCTTCACTATTTTATAAAAGCACATTTGTATGCCTATTTACTTAGTCCCACTTTGTTTTGATATAGCAGCTGCATGTCTCTGAAACACTCACTTGCATTTATGATATTTGTTCAATGTCTGTTTTCCAAGATATACTGTAAAGTTCAACAGGAAAGAGAATGTACCTATTCTGTACACTGCTGAAACCTAAGCTTCTCATCCTTAGGAGATATTTGTTGAATGAATGAGTTTCTAGAAGTCTCACTTATCTTCCTATCCTTAGCAGCTTGCATGATGTCTGATGCATAGAATATCATCAAAAAGTCTTTTGGTGAAAAATTTTATATAGTCATAAGCAAAACACTCCTTATGAGATATTTACCACCCAGTCATAATAATGAACCAACCAACTAATAAATATCTGTGCACATAATAATCTAGTTGGGGAGACAGATTGAGTATATCTTACATTCTGCACAATGAATTAAGTCTGTGGGTTCTAGAACTAGATAGTCTGGGTTTAAGTCCTTCACTTACCAGCTATGTGACCTTTGGTAAGTTAGTGAATAGCTCTCTTTACCTCAGTTTTCTCATTTGTAAATAATGTTTGTACGAGTTTAAAACTCAAAGCACTTTGAATACAGCTTAGCATATAGTATAGTCAGTACTAAAAAATGTCAGCTGTTATTACCAAGTGTGCTTCTAAATTAGTTTGCTATTTATTTGCTGCTCTTAGTAGTTAGCTCACCCATACCTGTTTAATTACTGGTATAGATGGGGAGAAGGGTCAGTGTGTGAAGCATCAATATGCATGGCAAGTACTTCATGAAGCTGGTTGTCACCTGCTTCTTTTAGATGACATGTGTTTCCTTCAGTTAACCAGTTCTCAGTACTTTCTATTGTTTTTGTGGTGATTTTTTCTATAGTGAGAAATTATTTTGCATGATGTCTGAGCAAACGTGGGCAAGCAAATGTTAAACCAAAAGGGACTTGTAATTTTTCCATATCTGGCCAGCTTCACTGCCTGACTGCAGACATTTGAATTTGTGTCCTCTCTTCTAGACCATAAATTTGCTGAGTTCAGGGATAGTATTGTGCTAACACATTGTCTAGTGCATAGAAAGTAATTAACATAATTCCTTTGTATTAATGAATGCACAAATGAACAAAAGAATGGATAGAAACAAATAGGGTCTTGTAAGCCCTTATGTAAAGTGCTGTATTTTTTTAAATTTTCTTGAGGTGTAAACTATGCATTATAATATTTCAGTTAAAAATCAGTGATGTCCAATGAGAACACGTAGACACAGGGAAGGGAGCATCACATACTGGGCTCAGTTGGGGGAGACCAGGGGAGGGATTGTGGGGGGTGAGTATGGTGGGGAGGGATAACATGGGGAGAAACACCAGATATAGGTGATGGGGGTATGGAGGCAGCAAACCATCTTGCCATGTATGTACCTATGCAACAATCCTGCATGATCTGTGCATGTGGCCCAGAACCTAAAGTACAATTAAAAAAAAAATCAGTGATTCCTAGAGTGGAATACACATGGACGGTATAATGATGAGTTATGGCTTGAACTGGGCTTGAAGGAAGAAAATAATTTGTATGCACAGAAGGACAGAAGGTAAGGGGCATTATAAATGGGAAAATAATGAATAACACCCTTTTAAATCTCATGTTTATTTTTAAGTCTTAATGCTTTTACTAGATCTGGAATTGTCAGTGTGGAGGTATGTTGCTTATTTGATTGACAGAATCTTTGGAAAGCTATCATTAAACTTGAGAATTTGTTGTTTTAGGGCTAGCAGTAAAAGAGAAACAGGAAAGACAGCTTTCCTACCACAGAGACATCTCCACCAAAAGGAGATAAAAGACTGGGTAATTAACAGTATCTTGACAATCGAAAAACAAATCTCCACCTATACACAACTTGCAGTTGATAAAAATGTTTCATTTTGGGAAAAGTGCTCATGGATTGGGAGCTTTGCATAAATTGTGAGAACTACTTTTTATCTACTTTTTAAAGATGATGAACACTAAATATAAAAGTTAGTGACCTTTTTTATGTATTTTTTAAAATTGCATTTTAGGTTTTGGGGTACATGTGAAGAACATGCAAGATTGTTGCATATGTACACACATGGCAGTGTGATGTGCTGCCTTCCTCCCCATCACCTATATCTGGCATTTCTCCCCATGCTATCTCTCCCCAGGTCCCCACCCTCCACTGTCCCTCCCCTATTTCCCCCTACGGACCCCAGTGTGTTATGTTCCCCTCCCTGTGTCCATGTGTTCTCATTGTTCAACACCCACCTATGAGTGAGAACATGTGGTGTTTGATTTTCTGTTCTTGTGTCAGTTTGCTGAGAATGATGGCCTTTTGATGTAAAGAATAATTCTTATCTTTCTTTATACAATTCACCCACAAAAATAGTAACAAATTCCTCAAGAAAACAGAATGATTTTTTAAAACTCCAGGCTAAAAGAATATTTAATTTCTGGCACTCACTGTTCCTGTTACTACGTGCGGTTGGATTTCCTTAACCTCCATTACCAAATCTCTTTATCTAAAAGCTGGGGATAATTATAATGGCACCTATCTTTTTAGGTACTAAGAAAAACCTATTAAAGATATAGCCACATCAATTATGTTTAGATAATTTAATTTAAAATTTTAAAATTAAAATTTTATTCTAATTACTTTAAAGTGAGAATTTTATATTTATTGTTTGTTTTTGTATGTTGGTTAAAAAGTATGGGCTAGATCCAAATATAATAGTTATTTCTTTTCTTTTTCATTTGTACTGTTTCATTATTGTAGGAGCTTTTGTCACTCAAATTACTAGGCTTTTTGTATAAATTTTATATCTTCAAGGTGCTCCAAGAATTTGTTATTTATCTCTTAAAATTCGATCGTTATATAGTGATTAATTTTTATAATATAGTGATTAACTTTTTATTTAATCCTTCATAGCAGTTAAAAGGTTGAGGTTAAAGTTGTTGGCACCAGTGACCATGGTCTACATTAGCAATAGTAAAATAGATGAGATTTCTTTGTTGCTTAATAGGTGCCTGATATAGTTAGTCTTCATTTATTTTTTCTTAGTACCTAAAAAGTTAAGTGCTATGATGATTATCCTCAGATTTTAGATAAAGAGACTTGGTAATGGAGGCTAAGTAATTCAAACAGAAGGCTTTCTAATTCTTGCACTTTGGATGGTTAACTACTCTGTAATTTGGCCTCTCAGAGGAGTTAATGTTTTCATGATAGATAAACTTCATAAAAATTTTTTTTTCTAAAATCTAGGTCATAAATTTTAGAGTTGTGTATGTTATCTTTATGGCTATCACATTATCTTATATACTTCTTGAATGATGACATGGACGAAATTGTCTTGAGCTTACCTGGCATGCATCCACTCCACCTTGAGGTAATCCAGCACACAGCATTCCAGGCAAGATGGCTCCATTATAACTATATGGTGCATTACATACATCATTACTTATTATTCTGACCTGTCCTTGCCTTAGTTCTGTAACTGTGGGGCCTGTTTGGTATAAAAGTGTGAAAAAAATTAACTTCAAGTTATGTACGTTATTGACCCTATGATACATTTGAGAATAAATAAATGTACTTCAAATATTATTTTATATTCAGCAGTGAAGGCTCTTAAAGATTTACTTTTGAGTTTATTCCCAGAAAAAATTCCCCAAGTAGATGAGGATAACCCCTTTCACTGATCACTTTTTAACCTAGCGGCAAAAGAGAAACCAGTCTAGTTTCAAGGCTAAATAGTCTATTTTATATTAATGTATTCTCAGAATGGCACCACTAGTTTTTCACGACTGGCACAAATTTTATCTATTACACCAAATTACTTTGGGCCCCAAGAACGCAATAGAACATTTCCTAGGACAATTAAGGCTTTGTATGATTCCTTGGAGAGACTATCTACAACATGGGTAAAAGCTCAGGGAAATTGTCAATGCTACCCTTTCACTCCTTCACTGATACTCTTACTTTCCCTTTGGTTCTAATAGCTCTTGAGCATTGTCCTAATTTTAGTTTCTATTTTATTGATTCAATATACAAATATAAGCAGTGCTTATGTGCACATAGAGCCTTTGCTATAGAGACAGAATTTATTTTATCACAGAATACTTTCAAGGGCAGTTAATACCTTGAGGTTTATTAAAGCCTCATAGAATGTCTAATATAAATCTTCCCATTGCTTTGGGAGGCCACGGCAGGAAGATGGCTTGAGGGCAGGAATTCAAGACCAACCCTGGCTACATAGCAAGAACCTGTCTATAGAAAAAACAAACAAACTGGGTATGGTGGTGCACACTTATTTATAGTCCTAGCTACTTGGGAGGCTGAGGCAAGAGGACTACTTAAGGCCAGGAGTTTGAGGCTGCAGTAAGCCATGACTGCACGCACCACTGCACTCCAGTCTGAGCAACAGTCATTGCCTCTAAAAACCAAACAAACAAAATCTATTTTTTTGTTGTTTATAGGGAAGCCATTTGAATCTTACAGAATCTCTGGATTATTAAAGAACTCACTTTTTTTCATCACTTTCTTTTACATTTTCCTATATTTGAGAACTCCCCATAGTTCCTGGGGCATTGCTTTGCTTTGCTAAGGAAACTCAGGGGTAGCCAGAGTTTGGGCTGAGCAGAATATGGAATGGTTCTGTCTGTAGAAGAACAGAAACTCCTATTCCAGGTGTTTTCTAATTTAAAAAATTACATAATGGCAAATAATAAGACATTTCTATTGTTAATTTTTTTCTGAGACACTTACCGGAATATTCTCGAGCTCCCCATCCTGTTACATAAGCAGTAGAGCCAGGTGGACTATTCTGGGTAGCGGCTGGGAGACACACACTATGGATATCTTTGGTAAAGGTGACACTTTTCTCAAGCATCACAAGTGCAATGTCATTTTCATGAGTTGCAGATTTATAATTGTCATGGATTAAAATACTTCTTACTCTGTTTTTCAGTTTAGGATCTCTTGTGGAAATACCAAAGGTGGCAATCCATTGACGAGGATTAGAGTTGCTAAAACAGCATGAAAACATACTATGTTAGTAGAGAATCTGTGAATATTTCAGATATATAAATTTGTCTTAACCATCCCATACCACTATCTAGAAACTACTGGTTCCGCATCTCTTTGCTGTATATTTCTGCATTATAAGCTAGCAAGTGAGTTTTTCATGGCAGAACAAATGGTCGCTTGTCTAAAGAAATGGAGAATATTTTAGAAAACATATATTGGGGTGATATTGGTGTTTTTCTATTCCAATGAAGTTATTCTGATACTTTGATGATAAGTAGCATAACATAAATATTTTTTATTTCTCTTTTGTCTATACCCCTCTTCCTATTTAAGAAACTAAGAAACCTGAAATAAAAAACATTTTAGATTTAACTAATTTCTTTCAACTCCTATCTTTTCGTTAGTCAGGAGCTCCATTTAAATATTAGTGATGATAAGGGGCATTCTTATCTTATTAATGGATGAATAATTTTCTGCACTAATTCTAAAAGTGGCTGAAGATTTTGTTTTGTGTGTGTGTGTGTGTGTGTGTGTGTGTGTGTGTGTGTGTATACGTATGTATGTATGGGATCTTCAAAAGTTCAGGAAATGTATATTATAAACAAATTACATGGATTTCAAAATTTTTGCATGCAAATAAACTCATACTAACTTGTTATAACATAGTGAACAGGATCTAGTTTGAGGCACTAAGAGAAATAAGACACAAATTTGAAAAGATCCCTTATCAAAGCAACATGAATGCTTCTAAAATTGAAGCAAAAAATCAAATTTTTGGCGAAATTGGAAGAATGGTGAGATTATTTATGTTTTACAGAAAGTTTATGGGGACAATGTCCCCCTCCCCGCAAAATCACCAGTTTATGAATGGATAATTCATTTTTAGAAGGAAAGAGATGTTGTTGAGGGTAAAGTCTGCAGCAACAGATCATCCACATCAATTTGCTAGAAAAAAATTGCATCTTGCTCATGTCTTAATTAAAGAGGACCAAATTAGCATTGAGAAACAATATACAACACCATAGACATCTCAACTGGTTCAGCTTACACAATTCTGACTGAAAAATTAAAGTTGAGCAAACTTTCTACTTGATGGGTGCCAAAACTGTTGTGCCCAGATCAGCTGCACACAGGGCAGAACTTCCAATGGAAATTTTAAACATGTGGGATCAAGATTCTGAATTATTTCTTTGAAGAATTATAACAGAAGATGAGATATGACTTTACCAATACAATCTTGAAGACAAAGCACCATCCAAGCAATGTCTACAAAGAGGTAGAAGTGGTCCAGTCAAAGCAAAACCAGACTAGTCAAGAACAAAAGTCATGCCAACAGTTTTCTGGGATGCTGAAGGCATTTTGCTTGTTGACTTTCTAGAGCATCAATGAACAATAACATCTTCTTCTTGTGAGAATGTTTGAGAAAGTTAGCCAAAGCTTAGCAGAAAAAATGTCCAGGAAAGCTCTACCAGAGTTCTTCTTCACCATAACCATGCTCATGCTCATTCTTCTCATCAAATAAGGTTAGTTTTATGAGAGTTTCCATAAGAGATCATTAGGCATCCACCTTTCAGCCCTGATTTGACTCCTTCTGACTTATTTTTGTTTCCTAATCTTAAAAAAAAAATATTTAAAGGGCACCCATTTTTCTTTAGTTAATAACATAAAAAAGGCTGCATTAACATAAATCTCAGGACCCTTAGCTCTTTAGAGATGGACTATATGGGTGGCATTATTGCTTACAAAGGTGTCTTAAACTTGATGGAGCTTAGGTTGAGAAATAAAGTTTATATATATTTTTTTATCTTTTAATTTTATTTTCCATAAACTTGTTGAAGTCCCCTCATATATATGTATATGCATGTGTGTACAAGTATATATGTGTCTATATACATAGGAGAAGAGAGAGAGAGAGAACAGTAGTATAAAAAAAAAGGGACGCCTGTAATCCCAGCACTTTGGGAAACCGAGGCAGGTAGATCATGAGGTCAAGAGATTGAGACCATCCTGGCCAACATAGTGAAATCCTATCTTTACTAAAAATACAAAAATTAGCTGAACCTGGTGGTGTGTGACTGTAGTCCCAGCTACTAGGGAGGCTGAGCAGGAGGATCGCTTAACCTGTGAGGTGGAGGTTGCAGTGAGCTGAGATTGCACCACAGCACTCCAGCCTGATGACAGAGCAAGACTACATTTCAAAAATAAATAAATAAATAAATACAATTTAAAAATAGGATATTACTTTTGTGACCTAAAAAGTGGGACTTTTTGGCTAAACAACAAAAGCACAAACTAAAAGGCAAAAAATGAATGAATTTTATTAAATCCAAATTAGATATACTATAGACAAATTTACCAGATGGATGAGAAACCATGGGAAAATATGGCAACATTTAATATCTAAAATTTTTATAGAATATATTTTAAGTCTGTAAACCAGAAATAAATAAGCAGAAAAACCATTATGAAATGGACAAAAAATATTAATGGCAGTTCAAAACAGCTCTTAGATTTATGAAAACATACTCAAACTAATAATATGAGAAATTGAAATGACAAAAATGATCATCTGATGTACATTTAAAAGACTCATAAAAGAATAATACTAAATGCTGATGTGGAGGGAAATTGGACCTGTTTTCCATTACTGGTAAAGATTTAAGTGTCTGGAAAGCATTCTGGTATATTTAGCAGTCTGCACATGTGCTTCAGAAGTTCCTAAAGGTTTACAAAAAGACAAATGTCAATATTTTGTGTGTGCTATTTGTGGCAATGGGAAGTTAGGCCATCCAACCTAATTGGATGAAGGATATATGGTAGCTGCATACCATGGGGTGCTACACAGCAGTGCATCAGATGAAAATTCCCAGGATTGAGTGAAAACAGCAAGAAACAATATTGGACTTTTACACAATGCTATGTATTTAAATTTAAGACATATAAATGCAAAAAACCAACACTATAGGTTTTGCAGGTATATGCATATTAAAAGACATGTATATTTCAAATATATCAGTATGAGGCATGTGGGCAGGAGGAGGGCAGTGAAAGTGAAATCCAGGGATGACAGCAGGAAAAAAAATAAAATGAGAGAAATGCCTTGTACAAACTGATGAAAATAAGGATCTGTGAATTGGATGCCTGATTAACTTAACATTTCTCCTAAGAGTTGAGTAAAAACAAAATGTAACCAAATAATACCAATTTAGGAGTTTTATGGAGTTTGGATAGTGAAGTTAATACAGAAAATAAAAATAGTGTGTCTGAAAATACTTTTATAAGGCACAGTAGTTTGTATAAGAGTGAATCTGAGTTAAAAATGTTGAAGAAAAAATACTGAAAAACAGGCTGGGTGCGGTGGCTCATGCCTGTATCCCAACACTTTGGGAGGCTGAGACAGCTGGATCATGAAGCAGGTGGATCACGAGGTGGGTGGATCACGAAGTCAGGAGTTTGAGACCAGTCTGACCAATATGGTGAAACCCTGTCTTCCTAAAAATTCAAAAATTAGCTGGGTGTGGTGGCGCGCACCTGTAGTCCCAGTGGCTCCGGAGGCTGAGGCAGGAGAATCGCTTGAACCTGGGAGGTGGAGGTTGCCGTGAGCTAAGATCACACTACTGCACTCCAGCCTGGGCAACAGAGCGAGGCTCTGTCTCAAACGAACAAACCAACAAGCAAAACAAACCCATGATTGTTTTTATATTCAACTTCTTTTCCTTGGCATCTTTACAGTGAAGATTATGAAGAGACTCTTCTTTTTTTCCTTCCTTTTCTCTCTTCCCTCCCTTTCTTCCTCCCCACTTGTTTATTTTCTTCCTTTCCTTTTTTCCAGCAAGTGAATTAGAGCATGGTTTTGGAACCAGTCACATTTATATTTAAATCTTGGCTATGCCACATATTAACAGTGTTATTTATGACAAGTTAATTAATAGCTATGAGGTTTATTTACATATAAAATGTGCTTGATGATACCTTCTCACACAATTGCTAAGTATTATTGAGACAAATGTATTATGTCAAGTATAGTGTTTGGCACAAAGTGAACTTTCAATGAAAGTAGCTATTATTTTCATTAATTATACTTCAACAAGCCATTGCTAAGTGTCTACTTTGTATGAGGACAAGTGTAAGTCTCCAGGAATAAAAACATAAACATTTATGGTCTCTTTCCTTGAGGAACTCCACACTAGTGGAGGAAAACTGACAAGGGGTAAGTCAAATATCACAAATCAAAAGAACAACTGTTAAAGGCAGATAAACAAATTTCTGTGGAACTCAATGGAGAGGAAAGAGAGTATCAGGGAAAGCTACATAGAAGAGGTGATGATTCAATAATCCTCTTTTATAAGACCTCATTACTCCTATATACTTTGATGTAAGGCTTGTTGTATCCCAAACAAATCCTCACTGATGGTTCTCAGTGACAATCAGGTCTTTAGGGAGGGCTCCAATACATAGTTCATGGAGTTTGTTAGCTCTAGTGGATCAATCATGGTAGTGAATAGAAGGATGTGGGGTAGTAAAATTCAAGGTTACATGGATTCCTTTGATAATCATTGGTGATATTTATAACTATGGCTTTCATTATAGTGATATCCTTTACTTAGTTTTTGGTGGTTGGACCATAATATGGCTTAGAATTCAGTAAGGTTTCTACTCCAATCTTGGTGATGCTAAGTGCCTGATAAGTCCAAGTATTTGAATTCCTGGTTCCCACACTCGAGAGTATAATTGAAATCAATATGTGTAATTTCTGGTTTTGGCCTTTCAAGTGGCAATGAAGACTGAAATGTTTTTGTAAATTTTGTCTCTTTGGTTATTTGGGATATAGTAATAAACTTGCCAGTCTACATAAGAAAACTGACAATTCTGGAAGTGTCTTTTAAAATTTGTTCACTGCATATAAAAAAATTAAGTTATAAGAAAACCATAAGAAAAATTTAAAATAATTTGGGGTTTTCTGAACCTTTAGTTCAGAAACTACCCTAGTCTTTTAAATCTTTATTCTTTCTTAATTTAACAAATACTTTTATAACAGGCACCATGAAGTAGTGCCAACAAATCTAAAAAAGACTACTTAGAAATTGTCAAAAATTCGTAAAATTTAAATAGAGATTTGGGATATATATGAACATTTCAAGGATTAGCGGATTGAGCTGATGCTCATAGGTAGGGCAATAAATGTAAGAAGAGTCCAGGAGAAGAGAATAATGCTGTTTATCTGAAACTCAAGGTACAGGCTTTGAGAAATAAGACTAGATTGATCTGGCTGTGGAAGGTTGTGTGTGTGTGATAAGGAGGTATGATTTAGAGTAAGGGTCTGAGAAGAAAATTTATATGGCCATGGGCACACAAGTTCAAATCTTCATCATATTTCTGGGTGAACTTTTTGAGTTAAGTTCCCAACAACTGCTGTAGTAACAAGGTAGGTTTGAAACAAACAGATTTAGTTATGGCGAACTCTAAAATCCTTATTTTATGAGTTACGTGAACTTTCCTTTTTACCAATAGGGTAAGTTTATGCAACCTACTCTCCACTGGCAGCATATTACGCTAGTGTTGGCATTAGTTCAGTCACCTCAATTAATAATTATTTTAAGTTGCCTAAATTAATTTTATTTTTGCTACTCATCGTAATTGATCATTATTTTTGTGTTTTCTAATTCCAACATTAGAGTGTAAGCTTTTTGAACGTAGAGGCAATAGTTTGTTTATATTAGTAGCTTCTACAATATATAACACTGTGCTCATACAGATGCTCAATAATCTTTAAGAATGAATAAATTAATGGGACAGTCCCTAGGTTAGCCATCAGCTTCCATGATATAATGTGCAAATCTTCCACAACATTAAACTAACAATTAACATATGTTTACATTAGTGTACTCAATGCTACCAATAACACTAAGACACAGATAATAGTATTGTCCCTTAATTTGGAAAAAAATAAGGCTTATGGAAGTTTAAGAAATTACTTAAGCTTTTATAGCTACGATTTAAAAAGCTTCTGACATATAAATCTTTGTTCTTTACTGTGATAATACACTATTACCTGAAACAGAGAAATAGCACTAAATTAGCATGCAAAAGGGGAAAAAACACTTTTCCCCTCATGAATAGAAGAACATTCTTATTGATTTTTTTGCTTTGAATTATTTCTGGCTCAACTCAACCCTAGGATAGTGGGTGGAAGCTTCATGACCTGTCTATTCTAATTGTTCCCAGAAGGGTAGGTAGCAGTGGCCTCACCTTCTGAAGCAATGAGCTGCTGTCAGGATCCACATGTTACTGATCAGGCTGCCTCCACAGTGATGGGCATTATTGAGCCGTAGACTGACTTGCCACGGCCAGCCTCCCTCTTCAGCCTCAGTGCCTCCAATGATTCTCTGCTCAGACAATGTTACTAGGTCTGGACCGGCCCCACATTCTAATGAGAAAAGGGCATTAATATGCTAGGAAGATCATGATTCCTTTACATTTGGAATAAGCTGTGGAGTTTTTCCATAATTTATGACTTTTATGCCTTACACATTCTTCCTCAGGACACACTGGACTTTCCAAAAAAGTATGATCAACATATTTTCACACTTCACATGTGACTACTATTGCCTATAGATGGCATTTTAGAGAATATTTCTGAATTTAGTTGGCATATGGGCTTCAAATTTTGAACAGCTTCAGATTTCTCTGCAATTCCCCATGAGCTGAAGTTAAGATAGGTCAAAATTGGATGTGCCAGCTCAGGTCACAGACTCCTGGGAAATTTCCTTTTTCTCAATAGTCTTGCTATGCACAATGTGGTCTGTGGGCCTGCAGCATGGACATCCCCTGGAAACTTACTAGAAGTGATGATTCTCAGATCCACACCATGGGACAAATCTAAAGCTGCATTTTGATGTGAGGTTCATGCACACATTGAAGTTGGAGGTAAATGGGTCTCATCCAAAAGATTCTTTAGTGGTACTGCAGTTCATCTTGTAGAATCCAGTCCACCTCCAAGATTGATGCTGTATTACCAAATGTGCCCTCAAAACGGAGTTGCTATAGGTCCACAGAATATTCTTGAGGGTAACAGAAGGTTTCTAGTATCTAGATAAAGTTTATTTAAATGTCTTCAGAGAGTCCATGAACACTCTACTGGCCAGAGCTGAAATGGGCTGGAGTAGGCTGATTACCTAATTCCTTTCAACTCCCATTCCCATGATTTTCTTATCTTGTGTGATCTTTTACTAAGAAATTAAAGATAAATCACACAACTATTGCTGGGCTGGCTTTTAAGTAGTGCCCTGCTTTAATAGCACAACCACCCAAAGGCTTTTTTTTTTTCCCTAGCAAATTTCCTGGATAAAGGAGGAATAGGTTTCCATTAAGATATACTTCTGTTCTTTTGTGGGATCTCACAAACAAATACCCTAGTAAATTACTAATCACACTTTCATAAACAATAAGCATGAATTAAATATATAGTGAAACTGAAAACACCCCTAAGACTAGCATCACTTTGTAAAATCACTTAAGTGCCTGAGATAGGCCAGCTACCAGGTACATTGAACTAATTTTTAACTACATTCTTTTGGCCAGAGAAGTAAGTTGCTGTTTTCTAGGGATTGCATTTCTGCTATCCTAGCACAAGAAAACATAGGATGATGCTGAAAAGTAGTGACTTTTCCTTCAGGTTATAGACCCAAAGCTGAGAAGACTTTTGATAATTCTTTTTGTTATACTTTGACCTGAATCCACAACAAAGCAAGCTACTCTGGTGGTTAGGAGAAGCTACATAAATAGTGTCATCAAACATACTTTGTAAGCCTACAGAAATGCCACCTCAGAAACAGGGCAGTAAAACCTTCTCAAAGCTGCAAAGGAAATTTTCATGAGGTCAATTCTGAGTACAGAGTGGGTAGTACTCCGCTGCAACTTCTTCCTTTTTCAAAAAGGAAAGGGGAAATCTAAAATCCACTCCATGGACCACTTGGGATCAGCACTGTCTTGTTTCAATAAAAATCCATCTGAGTGAACTAAGAACAAAGATATCAACTTGATAGGTACTGCCTTGGCCAAAAGTACACAAAAGACTTGTGCTTTTACTCTGTATGTTTTGGCAAGCTATAATTAAAAAAATAATTTAAAAACTTACCTCTAATAACTAGATCTGCTGTATCCTCACTAGTAATTGCTAGTATTAAAAAAAAAGAATGAGAATAGGATAAATACAATAAAGGCTGTATATCATTTCACCATGATTTCTTAAAGTTCAGTACTCAGACAATAAGAAGCAGAATTATTTGGGGGGTGGGGAGGATTCTCTAAAATGCAGATTCCTAGGCTCCATTTCGGATCTGCTGAAACAATCTCTAACTCATCTGCCCTACAAATCTCTTTGTTTACAACCTTTTCCAATTTGTTGCTATGCATATTAAAGTTTGCACTGTAATTTCTCATTAAATACTTAGTAGATACCTCTTCTTTCAAGTTATTCAATTTAGATGAGAAAACAAACATAAGCAAGTCATTGAGATGCAATGTGATAAATGCTGTAACGGAAGTTAATTTATCATGTACTCAAATATATGTATATTACTCTAATGATGCCATTGTATAATAAGAGCTGCAGATTTAACTGTGAGCAAAATGTAAAGGACCTGCCCTCACATAATTTACAGATAGAAATTAATCAAGCAACCATTCAAATAAATGTAAGTGCCAAGTAGAGAAGAAAAAAGGGAGTAAGTAATGTAAATTATATGGAGGAGATAACATTTGAACTAGAGGAAATAGCATTTGCATTGTATTTTGAAGATCTAAAAGGAATTTTTCAGGCATACAAGAGGAGAAAAGAGATTCCACATGGAAGATATAGTGGGCACAAATGCTTGGAGGTGTGAGACATTTGTGGAGCAATAAAGTAAGGAGACCTAGTGCGTGTGTTATGTTTCGGGAAATGGAGGGTGAGACTGGAAAGGAAAATATGTCAGTATCAGACAGTAAGGGTCTGTCTATTTCAGTTTAAGATCTGCATACAAGACAGTTTTCTCTGCATGTCCCACAGCCATCTCAAACTCAGTGTGACCTGATTTTATCCAAAATTTGCTACTTTTACTTCCTTCTAGTAAAATGACAGCACTTCCATCTAGAAATCTGAAATTGTCTCAAACTCCTTCTTTCTAACAATTTCCACATCTTATGAACTCCAAGTTCTGTACCTCTATCTTTTGAATTAGCCCCATCCTCCTCATTCCTTTTGCTACTACTTTAGTTCGTGCTTTCATTATTTGACATCAGTACAGTTACAATAACTTTCTAACTGAATTCCTTGCCACCACTTTTGCTCCTTTTCAGTTTATCCACCTCTACCTTACCAGACTGATTTTTAAAAATATTATATTAAATCATATCCTTTCTTAATTGACATTTTTAATTGAGCAATTAGTCTTTTTTTATTTCCTGCAAGATAAATTAAAACTTCTCAAGACAGGTTTTCACGGTCTCTCAAAACAATTTATGCAAAGTTATTTCCCACTAAAAGTTTCAGAAGGTTTGGGTATCACATTTGTTTTGCAAGCATCAGTAAAAACAAATCATACTTTTGGAGACAGAAAATTTTAAAAAGCTGGCCATTCTTAATTTTTTGAACAAGACAGACTGAAAGTTTGAATCCTAACTGCCCCACATTCTGATTGTGTCAGCCTGGGCAATTTATCTTTTCTAAGAGGGACAATAAAACTATCTATGGGATATGGTTGTAAGGATTAATCAAGAAAAAAATTCATATAAGGCATTAAAGCCATGCCTAAAAAATAGTAAGTGCTCATTAAATAAGTGTTTTGATGATGATTATGTGAATGATGAACAGTAATCAATCATTCTAGCAGGCCCCTCTCTTCATTGTTCTGTCAAAGCATCTGGTACAGACTTATTTTCCTTTTTCCATGCTTTCCATTTCTGGCAAATTTCTTTCTCTCATCTTAAAATATGGAAATCCTAACCATATTTCAAAGTCCATTCTCCTTCAGGAAGCTTTTGCTAGATATCCCAAGCAAGCTGGTCTCATTCTTTCCTGGATTCCTGCAGCCATCACTGCCTGGGCTTCACACTTGGCATTTGATCATATTCTATCTTGATTTCAACACTCTTCTGTTGGAATATCTTTCCCTTCAACTAGATTATAAGCTCTGGAGGTGGAAACTGCTATAATCTTACCATTGTATCACCACATTGTCTAGTATAATGCTAAACAATTAAACCCTTGGGAAGGGCTTTTGGGAGAATTCCTTAATGTGTGGAAGCAGAGGTAATATTTAACTACCTAACAAACTGCAGTGTGTGAGCATTGACTAGTCATAAAAGATGCAATCAGGTCATGGAGTTGGAGCAGTGTCTTAGAGTTCCTTGCTATGCTAAGCATAACTCTTTAGCTTCAGGGGTTGGGGTGGCTGAATTTGAAGCGTCTTGGAAAACAACTTTGTGGGCATAATGCAGTAATTATTTACCAACATATAACAAAGCATTTCAATATTTAATAGTTACTGCATCTATAACTGGTACCTACCAGTCTAGGTTGGGAATCATCAAAATCCTTTTAATCCTGAGCTCGTGAACAAATCATGGCTTATTAAACTAGCAGAACATGACAAACTTGGAGAAATGTCCTTAAATTCTGTGCATATATTTTTTTCTTTCAGTCATACAAGAATTATTTATTGAATATGTGTTATATGATGGAGACTGGGTGGCAGGAGGGTAGCAGGATGAAGACAGTAGACTGATTCATGCTTTTAGGAAGATTACAGTGTAGGATGAAGCCAAACAATACAAAAATTACACAAATAACTTTGTAATTTCAATTGTGATAAATGTTACAAAGGAAAGTGAAGAAGCCTCTGAGAGGGATCATTAATTAAATTTTTCCCTGTCTTTGAACATCTATGTACCCTTCCTATGGCATATCCACAAGTGACATCTGACAGTAACATCACTCATAAGGAGTGTTGGAGGGAAAATTAATGAAAATTTTTAGAAAATAAAATTTACTATATAAATTCCAAATGATTCCTTAAATCTTAGAATGTTTTACATTAAAGAGTTATATTTAGCTTTTTAATGGATTGTTTTCATAACTTAGTTTCGAAGAAAGAAAAGTCAGCCTCTCAATTAAAATGTGAATTTGAATTGGTAAACTTGAGGAATCTATTGAAATAAAATTGTTTATGAAAAATTATACTTACCTGTTATATTAGTTGAAGGGTTCATTTCCAAGTTTCCAGAGTTATTCAGCATTTGTCGTAAAATAGACTGAATTCTGCTTTTCAGTGATGCTCCATTGTTATTTCTAGTGAATCGAAATTTCATGACAACATCTGCTTTCACACCACTACCATCTTGCCTGTAAATCATAAAGATATTTTTAAAAATGAATAACGATAATTTTTCATCCTATTTATATACTCTTCTTGATTAAACCTTTTTAAATATTTTATTTGCAGAATTTAACTTTAGACAGATTTCTGTAATGGTGTTGCATACATAATATTATATCATGATGCTATCTCACAAATTTGATTGCAATGCACAGAACACTGTACTCACTATAGTACAACTGATTTTGAAGTTATAATGCCAGAGTTTTACAGTGTAACTTTGGATAAGTTATGTAAGTTTCTTAATGTTTTTGTATCTAAGTCTCCTCACATGTAAAATGGGTTGCTATAAAGACTAAATGAATTACTATATACAAAACTTCAAAGAAGAGTGAATACAATACAGTAAGTGTGCTATATTAGCTATTCTTAGACTTCACCAATGTTATTAAAAATAATCTCCTTAAACAAATTCATAAAGTGATGAGGTTCTAAATTTATGTGAGTTAGAGATTCAACTTAATTTTTTGTTACCTAGACTATTCATCTGGCTACAACAGCAAATTTTAGCTTTTGTCGTGTATTAAAATTTCATCACTCATTTTAATTAATCATAAATATTTGTCACAATAAACCCTGATGACTTGATTAAATATTCTGATTATCTAAAACCTCAGTAATTTCCATTTACTTCTATGAAAATTACCTCATAAACCACTTCCTCCAGCTGACATTGGCTGTCTTCTTTTCTGAAAAAGTACGTTAAACATATTTGGTTTTGAGGCTCTTATACTCACTCTTGGCTTTTTGCTCTCACCTCAATGACCAGCTCTAATGTAGTGTTTATTCCTAAGAAACTAATTTAACATTTATTTTAAAAAATTTTAGATAAGCACCTTCTTGTGCTAGGCATTATCATAAACTTCAGAAATTAGCTGTGACTAAGATTCAGAGTTGCCATACAGGTCTTGCAGTTTAGATACAGAAACAGGCACTGAACAAATAATTACAACTTCCATATCTAGCAACATGGAAGCTTAAATAATTTTGGAAAACATTTTCCATACAAAAAAAGTAGAAATACTAGATAATATATAATACATTCCATTTCAGATGCAAGGCTGGGCTCATAAAAAAGTAAGGAAAATCCTGGAAGACCAAAAATAAAGCAGAATGTGAATAGTATGTGGTAAGACTAGAATATTTCACAGCCTTACGTTTAGCATTTACATAGAGACTGGAGATGGGACCTTGGGCTAGTGCAAAACTGGAAGCTGAACTTGAGGTTTTAGAGTAAGGCCAGGAGTCTCAAAGAACTAAACCCCAATAACAGCATGAGCTAGAATGAAAAAAATATGCTCGTCATCTCATAAAAAATAAATTTATCTGTTTCCAAGATCCAGCTTTAAATTAAGAAAAAGAACAAGTATCACCTAAGAATTCATAATCATGGGCCTAGCTGTATGAAGCCTGAATCTTCATTAATATTACCTGAATACTCCCAGAACCTTTATTGATTTTTTAAATTTATTTTTATTTTTAGAACCTTTAAACTAAGGAAATAACAACAACAAAAAAATTCCATGTGCTGCTGATTCTTTTAGAATGTCTGACAGATGCAACTGCTCTGGAGGTATTCATGTTAAGTCCAGGTTGTCCCAAATGACATTAAATTTAAGCATACAATTTCAGTGGTAGACAATACATCGTGAGATATGTATTAGTTCGTTCTCATGGTGCTATAAAGAATGGCCCGAGACCAGGCAATTTATAAAGAAAAGTGGTCGCATGGCTGGGGAGGCCTCAGGAAATATATCATCATGGCAGAAGGGGAAGCAAACACATCTTCCTCACATGGTGGCAGGAAAAAGAAGAAAAGAGGGAAGAGGAGAAAGCCCCTATAATCTAATCACCTCCCACAAGTTCCCTCTCATGACATGTGGGGATTTTGGGAGCCAGAATTCAAGATGAGATTTTGGCGGGGGCACAGCCAAACCATATCAAGGTAGAATCAAAGTAACAAAAAGATCATTCTCAAAAATTTCACATAATAGAATTAACAAACAAGTAAGTATATTTGAAATGATAAATGACATAAAAAAGGAAATCATAAAAATGAGATTAAGTAGAAAACATTTTTTTCTTTCTTTATTTATTTGAGACACTGTCTCGCTCTGTTGCCAGGTGCCAGGCTGGAGTGCAGTGGCACAATCTCAGCTCGCTGCAACCTCCGCCTCCCGGGTTCAAGCACTTCTCCTGCCTCAGCCTCCCTAGTAGCTGGGACTACAGGCCCGCACCACCAAACACATCTAATTTTTGTATTTTTTAGTAGAGATTGGGTTTCACCATATTGTCCAGGATGGTCTTAATCTCGTGACCTTGTGATCCGCCTACCTTGGCCTCCCAAAGTGCTGGGATTACAGGTGTCAGTCACCCCACCCGGCCAGAAAACATTATTTTTAAAAAATCACGTAGTATGTGATAGCACAACAGAGTGACTAAGGTCAATGATAACTTAATTGTACATTTAAAAATAACTAAAAAAATATAATTGGAGTGCTTGTAACACAAAGGATAAAGGACTGTCTGAGGGAATGGATACTCCATTTTACACAATGGGATTATTATGCATTGTATGCATGTATCAAAACATCTCATGTACCCCATAGATACATACGACTATTGTGTACCCACAATAATTAAAATAATTAATGTAAAAGACCAGGCAGATTCTCAAAAGAAAAAAAAATAGAATTTGCAGATAGGAAAACATACTCAGTGAAATTGAAAATGCAATAAATGGGTTACACAGAATACAAATCAAAACTGAAGGGAAATTAGTTATCTAAAAGAGATGAAGAAATTATACAGAATCTAACACAGATAAAAGATAAAATAGAGGTTGAGAGACATGATAAATTTCCATGTATACCTAAAGCAATGCTAAAAAGGAGCCCGGAAAAAAATAAAGAAGCAGTTATACTGGAAAAGATCATGAGTATTATCCATGCAATGGTATCAAGTAGATGGCTGCATATATTCATGTCTAGAGACAAGAGGACTGGCCTTGAGTTACAACTTTGAGAGCACTCAGCATATGGGTGGCAGTGAAGGCCAATGAAAAAAGTGTGACCTGAGAAGATGAGAGGCCTAAAGCACAGCCTGATGTTCAACAGCATTTGAGGAATAGAGAAGTAGGAGGTAGTAAAGGAAATCAAGAAGGAGTAGCTAGAGAGGTAAGGGGAGAATCAGAGTGTATAAGGCCATACAAACCAAGGGATAATCCTATTTCAAGGAGTGACAGGCCAGCAGTACCAGATACTCTTGAAGGGTCCAAGAATAGGACTGATGTGGTTTCTTTGGATTTTGTTATGTGGATGTCATGGATGGATTGACAAGAGCATTTTATATTTTGTGGTGGTATTGAAGCCAGGTTGCAGAGGATTGAGTGATAAGTGGGAATTGGACAAAGGAGAGAAAATGCAGAAGGCTCATGTAGTCCTACAGGTTTTCAAGGCTTACCCACTTTTGAGCATTAGTGGCTGATATAGATACTCAAAAGAAAGTACTAAGTGAATATGCACTGAATCGACTGAAAGTTGTTTTGGAAAATACCCTTCTCGTGGACTCTTCTTATCTCTTTAGCTCTTCAGAACTTACTTGACCAGGCCTCCGTGCTCTGGATACTTACTAGGTGACTCTCCAGAGAATGACATCTTGTGATGCTAGTATTGGAGAAGGAATTAGTATAATTCCTCTTCTACCAAAGAACTTTTGCTAATTGTTTGAAGGATAGAGCAATGTGGTCATTTGAGACATTTGAAGGAGAGTTAGTTAAGGTGACTGTTTCAGGTGGAAAGGCTGGTTTCATCACATCATATTTAACTAAGGCAGGAATGGCAAATAACTAGCATGCATGCTGCTACTTCTCCTAGTATTAATTCATGATAGACATGCCTTGGATATGGCCATAATGCCCTTTTATTATAGCACATTGGGCAGATTAAAAAAAAAAGGCACTTTTGATGTTCGTCATGGTGTTTTTATCTTGGATGGATATTCTCAAATCACAGCATTGTACAACTCAAGGAGGGACTGTTTACATAAATTGCACTGTGAGTGATATCCACTGGAGCTTTACAATAGGATGGCCTTGTTACTGTACCTTCACCCCAAACTCTTTCTCTGCCCTTTCTTCTTCCTTCCACTAAGAATAGATGTAATATGATTATTTACATTAGTAGCTAAATAGATCGTATGTTTGACATTTTTGGTATTGTTTTTTAAGCTGACTAAAATACTGTTTTCATAACATTGCAATAACTTATCTGAACATATAATTTACTATTCATTCTGTGACAAAAAATCAAATATGCCACATTGTGTCTATACTTAAATATTTTTTATATAGTTCCACTCACCTCAGTTTGACAACATGAGCTCTGATGAACTGATTTCTTAAATTTGATTCTTTGAATGTTTTAGTAATCTGTAGAAAGAAAATGGGGGAAACTCTCTGTAATTACAGTTCTTCTCCTTCCTCTCAACCTTGCAACCGAGACATGTTAATGAAGAGTAGAAAACTAAATTTTCACTTTAGTTCAACCCAATTCTATCACAAAACACATGAGATGATTTGGGCAGGTTCTGCAAGCTTTCGATGGAGTGCCTATTCATTCCTGTGTCTGTTACACAGAGATGATGCTGGACAGGATGTGTTTTTGCTAGAAATCATTTTAAACACATCAAATGTTTTACTCTGAGGGGTTAAGTTATATGACTTGGTGGCTGTTACTAAGGGCTTGGGGCAGGAGTTATGCCAGCATGAGGGAAGTCCACTGAGACAACTCAAAATGTGTGATCCCCCAAAATAATGGATGAAACCTGATTAAACTGGACTAAAATGAGTAGCAATGGAAAACTTGAAGAGAACAGGAGAAGAAAGCAAAGGGCAGGTTTTTTAATTTTTTTGTCATTTCTTTCTGATTCATACCTAAGCATCAGAGACTTTTTTTTAGCATCAATTGGTAATTTCTTTTTTAATTTTTTAAGAAATTGAGTCTCACCATGTTGTCCAGGTTCAAGTAATACTCCTGTCTCCGCCTCCTCAATAACTGAGACTACAGGTGCCCACCACCACATCTGGCTAATTATAAATTATATGCATGTAATAATACTGTGCTATTAACAAGATACATTATAAAATATTTATAAAATTAGAAATTAAAAAGACAGTTATAAAATAAATACTTAGGTATTTTATTTTTTAATAATAATATTTTTGGTATTATAGTATAACTGGATAGAATTTATAATTTTTGAACATAGTCATAAAATGGTTCAAAGGTCTGATTCTAAGTTTAATTTCAATACTTGATTTTAAGAACTGAAAAAGTTTCCACATAATTGCCTGGCCCCACATGCATGAAGTTTATCATTGGCAGAATTCATTATTTCATGACACTAAGTTGTCAGTCTCACTCATCATGCAAATATTTGTTGAAATTAAGCAAATTAATTTCCATTTTCCATGATGTCAATTGGTTGTCCTTGCAAACCAATTGAAAGTTGTTGTGTTTTATATATTTTTAAAGAAATGTGCAAAAAATCTATTAAACATTATAGTTAATTATTTCTCCCAAATTTTTATGTGTTCATGTCGGAGGACTTTTACAGATAACATACTTTATATGATTTTCAGCAAGACAAAACAAAAGAAAACCCAGTCACCTATTGATGAACATACTGCTAAACATATTTTCAGTCTTCTCTCTGTCACATGAATTTTATCTAAGAAGTGAATTTTGTTTTTTGAGATGGAGTCTCGCCCTGTCACCCAGACTGGAGTGCAATGGGTGACCTTGGCTCACTGCAACCTCCACCTCCTGGGTTCAAGCAATTCTCTTGCCTCAGCCTCCCAAGTAGCTGGGATTATAGACACCCACCAACATGTCTGGTTAATTTTTGTAGAGATGGAGTTTCACGATGTTGGCCAGGCTGGTCTTGAACTCCTGACCTCAGGTGATCCGCCCACCTTGGCCTCCCAAAGTGCTGGGATTACAGGCTTGAGCCACCACACCTGGCCTTAAAAAGTGATTTTCTGATGCATAGACCTTGAAGGAAAAGGTTGTGTGTGTTTGTTGAAATGTTACTCCTGATGGCAACGGAGAGTTTTAATGACTCAGTTGATCCCAGGTATGAATCCTGATTGAAGTCTTCTGTTTTATTTGGAGAAAACCCTTTAAGTAGAATGCATTCATAGTTTTGATACATGTACTTATTTCTAAATGGCCTCATTTATTTACTTATTCAACAACTGTTTTTGAACATCTCTTGTGTGCCACCCCACTTTCTGTCAGGTATTGGAATACAACAATGGATAGAAAACCGTAATCTGGCCATCATGAGCTTACATCTAATGGATAGAAATGGGAACGAATCAAATCATCATTCACAATTAAGTAAAACCATAACTGTGAAAAGTGCAACAATACTGTAGAGGGACCTGAGCCCATTAATGATATCGTAGAGATTTCTCAAAGGAAATGCTTATTGAGCTGAGATTTTCAGGAAGAATCAGATGTAGCTGGTTAAAGAGGAAGGAAACAAATGCTTGGTGGAATGAATGGCACATGCACAGTTCTGAGGTGGGAAGAAACAGGCTGTGCTTAAGTAATGAAAGAAGGTCAGTGCAACTGCGCTGTGGAGACCAAGCAGCCTAGGGTGACAGAAAAGTCCACAGCATGCCTGTCTTTGCACTGGGAGCATTTGGTCTTTATCATAAACACTGGGAAGCCACAAAAGTGTTTTAAACAAGAGGATAATATAGTCAGATCTGCAATATGAGAACAATCTCTCTTGCTGCATGTAGATAATCACTTTTAGAGAAAAATAATGCAAATGAACAGATTAGTTTTGTTGCTATTTTGGTACCCTGGGGTAGAGGCGATGGCTTGAATAGTCATGGCAGCAATGAATATGGAGAGAGGTGAATAAATTTGAAGGAAATACAGGGAATAAAATGAACAGCGGCTGGCAATGGATTGGATATTTGGAATGATAGTAGAATTTTCAGGATGAATTATAGGTTTCTCATTTGGATAATTAATAAATGGTATTGTTATTAATAGGGATAGATGTTGGTAGAAAGCTAGGATGGTGTGGGGATATCATGAGTTTGATTTTGAGAGATAATATATTTGAGTTGTTTTGAAACAGCCATGTAAGGATTTCGAGCTGGCAACTAGAGTGCAGAAGAACAGCCTGGGCTGGAAATATAGTGAATCATTGGTGTATAAGTAGAGGTTGAAGTAATGAGCATGTATGGGATCGTAGGAGAGGTGGGCATAAGCCAAAGCCTTGAGGTATTTCAACATTTAATGGCAGTGTAGAGGAGGGTGAGCCTGTAAAGAACACAGAGAAGTAATGACCAGTGAGGCAGACTGAGAAAAACATGTGAATGAGTGGCATGAGTATCTCTCATTAAAATCACACAATCATAGACTTTTTATATGAGACTGTACTATGCAAATTATCTAGTCCAATTATTTTCTTTTACTTATGAATGACAAGTGAATTGCTAAATAAAATAGAAGATTCTGAGACTATTCCAATGCTCATCCAGTGTTATCATTTTGTCTATGGGATGATAATAATATTATACATGTTATCTTAAAAAATGATATGATCCTTGGATTTTGAGTCAAGAGACCCTGGTTTGAATTCTGGCTATACCACTTTCCAGCTCAATGGCCTTTGATGTGTTTCTTAATCTCACAACCTTTACTTACCAGTCTATACACATGATTTATTATTTTTATGGCTGTTGTGAAATAAAGGTTAGATAATACATGTGAAAATGCTTTGTAAACTATAAAGCACTGTATTAGAGTACTATTTATATAACATTTTAAATGTTCAAACTGTTTCTACAAAAGGATACATATGTAAGATTAACTAGGGAAGTCATGCATCAGAAGAATTTTGAGGAAATCTTGAAATACTAAGTATATTGTCAAGCCACAGTACTCTAAATGTCCAGGTAATGGTGCAGGCAAAGATTAATTACAGAAAGAGATTAGAGTACAGAAAAAAAGACAAGGAAAAATTTACGGTATGATAAAGGTGACATGACAAATCAACTGCACTATTTAACATATGTAGTGTTTAATAGTGTGTTAAATAGGTGTTTAGAAGGTGGCCTCTCAGATACCAAATCTGCTTGTGCATTAACTTTGACTTCTCTAAATTTCTATTGTTCACATGCCACCAGTCTATGGTATTTTGTTGTAGCAGCCTGAACAGATGAAAACAGCAACTGACAATAAACTTTGTGTGGGGAAAAAAAGGGTCCTGAGTTAGGAATAGATATAAACTCCTGGGAGTGGAAGGAAGTCCCAGGGATGCTAAGGCTCCTGCAGAGGGAGGAAGTCCCCTGCCAGAAGCTGACACCCCAGGGAAGTGCAGCAGCAAGGACTCAGTGCCAGCTCTGGTGGGGTGACAATCCAGAAGAGAAGAAGGGTTTCTGTGCACTTGGACAGGTGGACCCCCAGGTCTGCATGGTTAGGATCTGCCTCCAAGGGGACTTGTGCAGTGTCAGTATGTGTGTGTGCACTGGCATGTGTGCCTTCATTAGTCTTTAAATCCCAACCAATCAATCTTATATTTCACTCCCTTTCTCCACCATGCCTGACATTTTTAGCATTCAGCCCTAAAAAGCCCAAACCCCAGTTTCACCATTTTGTAGAACTTTACAACTTCAACAGCTGCACACACACTCCTTCATTATTTACAGCTCAATAGATCTTACTTTACCCATGTGGCAAGTGAAGAAAAAGCCTGTGAGCCTTCGAGTGACTTGCTGGAAGTGGAGGAAATCAAACTAGTCCTTTGACTACTTGCCCAGGGCCATTTTTGCCGCCCCAGAGCAAACGTTTACACACAGGCTGAGGGCTTTGGAAATGTACTGCAGAGGGAGCTGGTGCTGTCCTGGCATTGACTCAGTTCCCTGCTATTGTATGTGTACGGGAAAATGCACTGGTTTTAATGGAGATCTACTGCAGCCATTCCGTCCTCTCTGCACATTCACTTAAGTGGCGGGTCCAGCGTCACGGATTCAAGATAAGTGGCATCAATAAAGCTTCATTACTTAAACCAACAAGCGGTTCAGAAAATACACTCACAAACAACTGGGGATCCCGATCTCTAGGAATAATAAATTTCACCCATCTCCCAATTCTGGACTGCACTTGTGTGTAAAGGCAGGAAATGGCTGAGAGACAGCTCTGCAGAGAGAAGCTAGGACAAAAAATATCAAAAGATCTCATCTTCCCAGAGCCACTGGTGATTTGCTGTCCTCTACTGAGGGAGGGGCACCTCCTAGCCTTGCCTAGACTGTAAATCTGAAGTGGTTGGGCTGGGAACATGGCTGAGGAGAGGTTCGTTAGAGATTGTTCATTTTGTGTCTTTATTGCTGGCTCCAGCCTCCATCTTTCTCTGAGGTGGTCTAGGCATCCATTCCTTTGCCCACTGAATCACTCTGCTGAGATGTCCACAGTGAACTTTTGTCTCCCTGAACAATCTGCTTTCATTTTGGTTTCCTCTTCTAGCCAATGGCACCACCATCTACCCACGTTAGACATTTCTGTGTCAGTGTTAACCTGTCACCTCTCATCCTGTCTTGTAGTCCGTTGCCAAGTTTTGTGGATCCTACCTTAAACCCATCCTTTCCTCCCTGTTCCCTGGCAGCACTCCTAGTGCCTGGTGTGTCTCTGGTTTGGCCCTTGTGGGTGCTGCTCTGCTGCACTCCCGCCCACCTTTGGACTCTACTTCCACTCACACCATCAAGGAGGTGGGGCAACTCATACCCAATGGTGGAGGATGAATGCTTAGGGCCCATCTCCTGCCCCCTGCCTCCGGCCCCCTTCAGTCTTCTGTGGCAACAGCTGCAGTTTGACTCTGTCTCTGCCCAATGCTGCTTCCTTGTCTTCCCGAAGATGTTGGTTGAAAGAGATACTCCCTGTATGCAAGTCTCGGAGCCTTCTTCCCCGGGAAACTAACCTGTGATACTTGGTGCCTGGATAGTCCTAGGAAGCAAACTAAAATGTAGTTAGAATTGGAAACCTTCCTGCGGTTTCAATAGAGGAGCCTGTCATTGGTGGGAGATGAGCGCTGAAAGCTTTGAGTGGAGCTCCATGGAGCAAAAGGACCAGGCTGCACTGGCAGGCTCATTAAAACACAGATTTCTAGGCTTCAACATCAGAATTTCTGATTTAGTAGGTCTTGGTAAAGCCAAGATTTTGCATTTCTAACAATTTCTAGGTGATGCTAGAGACCATACTTCAAAAACCACTGAGTTAATCTTCATGAGAACCATCACAGCTGGAGGACTGAATCATAAGCTTATTTAACACATTTTTTTTCTCTAGAAGCAAGCATCATTGAAAACCAAGCTATGAGAAGACTGCAGGGTGAACACAGACTAAAGCAAGGAAAGTTAGATATATCATTTAAATGTTGAATGAAATCAGAATGAACAGTTGAATCAGAATGATTTGGGAGGAGAATCTAGGGCAGGAAACAGACTTAAGCATCAGTCCTGTCAAATGTTGTGGATATACAAAAATGGAATGGATATGGAGCTGTCCTCATGGAGCTTAGGCTAACATGAAAAATTAAACCAGTCTAAAATATGTATAATATAAAATATATAGAGGTATGTGGCATGAGATCAACATAGATATGATTTTGTGGTGAGGTGACGTGGAAGGAGGATTAATTATATCCAATCATGGAGATCAGAGGGAGTTTTTTATAAAAGATAGCTTTTCAGGTTGGCTATAAGAATAAATAGGGCACACAGTGACTGAAATATGAGCCATGGCATAGACATGAGAAGGTGCTTAGCTAACAAGTTTGAATTATACTTCGTAGGCAAAAAGTCTTAAGCTGGAGGTAACGTGAAGGAAACAGGCTATGAGAGATTTGTGTTCAGAAGCGTGTAAATTAGATTAGAAAGAAAAGAGCCAGTACACAGTGAGAACAGTTCGAAGCTGATTGCAGTGGTTCAGAAAAGCACCAATGGATTAAAAACTTGGATTAAGGAATGTTCTAGAAAATGTAGAAATGCTGATAAAACTTTATCTTGAGCTCACCAAAGCCAACCCTGCCAGGTGACTTGGTTACATGCTAAAATTTTAGAACCATTGAATTCCTTTATATCCTTAGGATATTTTTTGAAAAGGCAAGGGTAAGTGAGCGACACTGAGACTGGTCAGCCCTGTCTCTGCAAAGCTAAAGGGCAGCGCCTGGTTTGTGGTGGGTGATATATGAATGTTAAAAGTTCACTTGTGAGGTTTCCTGGCAGGTAGCCAGAGGGCCTCTTCAAGTTAGAGCCCAAAATTGCTTTGCATATTTCTGTTCGAACTTCCATGTTTATCATTGAACCAAGGTGCAATGTTGTCCAAACTATGTTATTACTGATATGGTAAAACTATCTTTTAACACCTCCTTCCTTGGGTCTTTAGTTGAATAAGGAAGTGGGAAGAGGGCAAAATGAAAAGAATTTAAAAAGACAATGTTAATGCTTAGTTACACAAACAAAAAACTTTCAGCATTCGAAGTCATAAGCAAATAAAATGCATATTTGCTCATGGCCTTTCTAACACATTTTACTCATGACAAAGATGTGAATAAGAACCAGTACCCTAGTAAACTAAATTGATAAAAGCAGAGAGAAACACGTTTCACCATGCAAGGAAGTAAAATTATAGAGCACCTAGCAACTGAATATATTTTACAAAATATTAGGTTTATTATTATATTCATTTCATAATGGAACAAAGAGCAAAGATAAATATTAACTTACCAGAGATTCAATTCTTCCGCTCAAAGTCCTGTATTCCTGTGTAGCTGGTGAATTTAGCTGACTATTATATTCAACATTTAGGAGTTCAAAACTGCTTCTGTAAAAATAAGATTTTTGATCTGGAAAAGAAATTAAAAGGCAGGGTTAGTCTTACTTTACTAAGTAGTTGAATCTTTAATTTATTCAGGATAATGGGAGGCTATATTATAGAATTATAAATATTTGCTTTCCTTGAAAGAAAGAAACAGTTCTATGCTTCATATAGGCGTAATTATGATAAAATTATTATATTTTTCAATTTTTTTTTTTTTTTTTTGAGACAGAGTTTCGCTCTTGTTACCCAGGCTGGAGTGCAATGGCGTGATCTTGGCTCACCACAACCTCCACCTCCTGGGTTCAGGCAATTCTCCTGCCTCAGCCTCCTGAGTAGCTGGGACTACAGGCATGCGCCACCACGCCCAGCTAATTTTTGTATTTTTAGTAGAGACGGGGTTTCACCATGTTGACCAGGATGGTCTCGATCTCTTGACTTTGTGATTCACCCGCCTCGGCCTCCCAAAGTGCTGGGATTACAGGCCTGAGCCACCGCGCCTGGCCCTATTTTTTCAATTTTTAAAAAGATTGGCAAAGCCAGAGTGGTGTAGATGTTTAAAAATCAGAGTGGAATTGTTATTTGAGAAATTAAAAATTGTCAGAAATACTGCAATTTGCATTCTTGCTATATTTTAAGGGAGATTTGTGGCGTATTCATTCAGAAAATATTAATGTTTGTATATACTATTATTCATTTATCATTAAGAAAGAACCCAAAGTATGAAACTTTTAAAAATTATTTCAAATAATATTCTTTATAGAATAGGAGTTAGTGATTTGCTATTAGTTTTTCTGGAGTAAGCTAGAAAATAAGTCTTCTGACACGATATCTAACCTAGTAATCCAGTGTAAATTATTTTCATCAAAAGGCACCTTGCAAAATAAAAAACTAGAACAGACCAGTAACAAGTTATAAGACTGAGTCAGTAATAAAATGTCTCCTAGTAAATAAATGTCTGGGACCAATGGCTTTATTACCATTCTACCAAACATTTAAAGAAGAACTAACACCAATTTCTCTTCAAACTATTCAAAAACATCAAACAGGGGGGAGTTCTCCCCAACTCATTCTATGAAGCCAGTATTACTCTGATAGAAAACCAGACAAGGACACAATAAAAAATACTACAGGCCAGGTGTAGTGGCTTATACCTGTAATCCCAGCACTATGGGAGGCCAAGGCATGTGGATCATGAGGTCAGGAGTTTGAGACCAGTCTGGCCAACATGAAACCTCATCTCTACTAAAAATACAAAAATTAGCCAGGTGTGGTGGTGGGCACCTGTAATCCCAGCTACTCAGGAGGTTGGTACAAAAGAATTGCTTGAACCCAGGAGGCAGAGCTTGCAGTGAGCCGATATTGTGCCATTGCATGCCAGCCTGGGTAACAGAGCAAGACACCATCTTGGAAAAAAACAAAAAAACAAAACAAAAACAAACAAACAAAACAACTACAGGTCAATATTACTGATGAACACAGAGGCAAAAATCCTCAACAAAATACTATCAAACTGAATCCAACAGCATCTCAAAAAGATAATATATCACAGCCAACTGGGATTTATCTCAGAGATACAAGAATGGTTCAACATATGCAAATCAATAAACTTAATACATCACATCAACAGAATGAAGACAAAAACCATATGATCATCTCAATAGATGTTCAATAGATTCAATATCCCATCATGACAAAAACTCTCAAAAAACTCAGCATAGAAGAGACATACCTCAACAACATAAAGGCTGACCAACCCACAGCTAACATTTTACCAAATGGAGAAAAGCTGAAAGTTCTTCTTCCTCTAAGAACTGAGACAAGACAAGGATGTCCACTTTCATCACTTATTCAACATAGTACTGGAATTCCTAACCAGAGCAATCAGATGAGAGAGAGAAATAAAAAGGCATTCAGATTGGAAAAGAAATTACATATTCAGATTGTTCCTTTTGCAGATTATATAATTTTATACCCAGAAAAACCTAAAGACTCTACCAAAAAACTCTTAGATCTGATATACAATTTCAATAAAGTTGCAGGATTCAAAATCAACCTACAAAAGTCTGTAGCATTTCTATATGTCAACAATGAAGTAGCTAAGAAACAAATCAAGAAGGCAATTCCATCTTCTACAAGGTAAACTATAAAACACTTATAAAAGAAATGGAAGAGGACACAAATGGAAAGATATTCCTTGTTCATGGCTTGAAAGAATTGATATAATTTAAATGACTATACTCTTCAAAGCAATCCCTATCAAAATACCAACATCATTTTTCACAGAAATAGAAAAAAACCATCCTAAAATTTGTATGAAACAAAAAAAAAAGAGCCCAAATAGCCAAATAGTCAAATCAAACTTGATAAGAAAGAACAAATCTGGAGGAATCACACTACCTGACATCAAACTATACTCCAAGGCTATAGTAACCAAAATAGCATGGTATTGGTATAAAAACAGACACATAGACCAATAAAATAGAATAGAGAGCCCAGAAGGAAATTTATATACAGCCAACTGAGTTTTAACAAAGGTGTTAAGAACATACAATGGGGAAAGCACACTCTCTTCAATAAATAGTACTAGGAAAATTGGATATCCATTTGCAGAAGAATGAAATTGGACCCTTATCTCTCACTATATACAAAAATCAACACAAGATAATTAAATTCTTCAATGTAAGATATAAAACTATGAGAACTATTAGAAAAAAAAACAAGGGGAAACACTTCATGTCTTTAGTCTGAGGAAATGACTTATGGCTATGACCTGAAAAGTACAGACAACAAAAACGAAAATAGACAAATGGGAATTAATTAAACTAAAAAGCTCCTGCACAGCAAAAGAAACAACCAGCAGAGTGGAAAAACAACCTGTTGAATGGGAAAAAATATTTTCCAACTGTTTTTCTGACAAGAGACTAAAACCTAGAATATACAAGGACTCAAATGACTCAACATTAAAAAAAATAAAAATTCTGTTAAGAAGTGGGCAAAGAACATGATGAAAATTTCTCAAAATAAGACATACAAATTGTCAACAGTATATGAAAAGTGCTCAACATTACTAATCATTAGAGAAAATGCAAATCAAAACCACAATGAGATATCTTCTCACCTTAGTTAAGATTACTATTACCCAAAGGACAGAAAATAACAGATGCTGGTGAGAATGGAGAGAGAAAAAAATTCTTATATACTGCTGGTGGAAATGCAAATGAGTGCAGCCATTATGGAAAATGGTATGGCGATTTCTCATAAAACTAAAATAGAATTACCATATGATCCAGCAATCCTGCTACTGGTTACTTATCCAAAAGAAAATAAATCAGCATGTCAAAGAGATACTTGTACTTGTGTGTTTATCTCAGCACTGTTCACAATAGCCAAGATGTGGAATCAACCTACATCAAAAAATGAATGGATAAAGAAAATATGATATATATATACACACACACACAATGGAATACTATTTGGCCATGAAAAGAATGATATCCTGCCATTGCAGCAACATGAATGGAACTGGATGTCATTGTGTCAAGTGAAATAAGGCAGGCACAGAAAGACAAAATTAGCTAGGCAAGGTGGTTCATGCCTATAATCGCAGTACTTGGGGAGGCAGAGGTGAGAAGGTCACTTGAATCCAGGAATTTGAGACCAGCCTGGGCAACAAAGTGTGACCCCATCTCTACTACTGAAAAAAAAAAAGAATAAAAAAGAAAGACAAATATGTTCTAACTCATATGTGGGGGCTAAAAAGTTGATCTCATCAGTGTAGAGAGCAGAATGACAGATACTAGAGACTGGGATAGGTAGAGGAGTGTGAGTGTCGGTTACTGTTAACCAACCTCTCTATTGAAGAGAGGTTGGTTAACAGGTATAAACATACAGTTAGATAAACGGTGTAAGTTGTATTGTTTAACAGCAGAGCAGAAGGACAACAGTTAACAATATATTATGTTTTTCAAAGCAGCCAGAAAAGAGAACTTGAGTTGTTCCAACACATAGAAATGATAAATACCCAGTGATGTATTCCTCAAATACCCTGGATTGATCATTACACATCCTATGCATGTAACAAAATATCATATGTATCCCATAAATATGTAAAATGTTATGCATCAGTGAAACAACAATAACAACAATAACAGGGGTCTTCCAGAGGACCTATTGAGTTGTGTGGAGATAAAAGTCTCTAAATCCTATCTGTACACAACTCAGAAACATTATGAAAATGTTCATAACCTAATGGAATCTGTCTCAGAATAAAAATCTCTACTTGCTTTTGTGATCCTTCATGTGCATTACTTACACAGACAAATAACTTGGTAAGGGGCAAGTGTTGGAAATCCTTAGGAAGGGTGGTTGTTTGTAGTGGAAGATAAAGTCATTTGGGGGCCTCAAGTGATCACTGAAACACAGTTTGCAGATGACTTACCAATGGGCCTACTTTTTAAGCATGACAATGCAGCATCATTAAAAGTAAAAATTCATTAATTTAATCTGAAACTCCATGTCCTTTTTTTCTACTTCTGTAGTTCACATGAGGGATAGGTGAATTCAGGTGATTTGATAGCAAAATGTAGTCAAAAGCAAAATTTAGCCACAACATTTACATTTGATTGGCTGAGATAATTGTATATCATTATTGGTATTTCATGTTGGTAATTTTAGTGCACCATTGGAAGTATTTCAACCTTTGCATGGTTAAGAATTTTTGCCTGTTTACAATTGGACATACTACAAGTTATATTCTGTCTTTTTTTCTCTTCACACTCACACATACCCATGTACACACCTGTACACACATACACATGATTTGAGTGATTTAATAGAATTATATTTGAAATAAAAATAACCTCAAAGTGAATTTTAAGTGAAGAAAAGATTCTAATGTATGATATTATTTAGTAAAACTCGACACATTTTGCATATCTATGGTAAAGCGTCTGAAAGAGCCTTCACGGAGATTTTTAAGGGAAGTTGTTTATGAATGAGTATGGTATATATATTCTTTATATTATTTTTTTTCTTGTCCATGTTGTCTATTTTTAGTGATATAATGATACATATTAAACAAAATAAAAGAGACAACTAAAGAACATAATGTTTTAAAAAGTTTGACTTTACCCCTTTTTACTTCTCAACCGAAATTTTATCTCCTGACCATCATAACAGTTAGGCTTGTAAGATACCGTTTTCAGAAGACAGAGCATTATCTGTTAATAAGAATGGACAAATACTTAGGAACATCCAAATTTTAGGTGTTTAAAATTCATTGCAATATTTCACTTTTATAATTTTATCTGGTTATCAATGAAGGAAATAATAGTATTAATGAAAAACAAAATGAGTAAATTTTAGCATCAGAAAATTATTGAGAGTTTTTGTTTCCTTTGGATAGAATAATTCTTTTCTGAGTAACAATGTTTGGTTTGCTCAGAAAGTATGTTTGGGGCACTAAAAATGGACAAAATAGGAAAGAGAAAAAATACTGATTGAGGAAAAATACAGACATGAATTATATTTAGGGAAGATTTACAAGTAAGATATATAATCACATATATTAAGTAATAAAAGCAGTAATAAATGAAATAATGCCAAACTAAATCTGATATTGTATGTAGTTATTAAATCTGAGGAGTAATAATGTTCTGGTACTTACCAAAAGCTAAAAAGTAAACGAGTAGAGCTATGGTCACTGCAAGGACCACTACCCCTGCGACAACAATGAAACATACTACATACGGATTCAGAAATCTTGAAGTCGATGGTACACGTGCTGGCCTTGCAAGAGAAAGAGATCAAAAAAAGGTCATTCATTGCACCCATCATTTTAGTGCTCATAATTTTCTTCTTTCTTGGACTCTTACCTTGCACACGGTCTAGCCATAGAAATATATTCCTAGAAATGAAACTGAACTTAACAGCATTGTCCTTAGTGGTTTTTCTTTCAAGTTTTTTTTTTTTTCAGCACAAAATGATTGAAATTCAAGTAGTCTGATGGAAAAATAAGAAAACCTGACTTATGGTTTGGAATTGCTTTCCCTTCTGTCAACTGATATAGTTTTCGAGAATAACAACAAGTCATTCTCTGTTCTACTGCAATGCCTTCCAAAATACTATGCTGGACACTACTGTAGTCACCTTCTTTGCTTGGGCACCATCCCCAAGGTTGTACTGAAGAGAGATCATTTGGGTGGGAAGAAGTGTGGAAGAAGATAAAGAAGCAGGGGTGGGGTGGTAAGAGGGGTCAGAACAGTAGCATTTCTCATTACCAGATTCCCCATATTATTGAAAATCGGCAGAGGCAGAGAACTAGGATCAGGGAGAATAGCAAGCACCTGAAATGAATTAGAACTGCTCCAACAGCCAATGATTTATGTGATTTACCATATTTTACCCATGAATTTGTACTAATACAAAGTCACACACACTCACACTGGGGAAATCACCAGAGGAGCTGGGTGTGAATTCCAGTTTTACCCCTTGTTTGCTTGGAGGTCATATTGTCATTTATCTGAGATTTTCTTGATCTGAAAAATAGGAATAATAATACCTACCTCAAAAGGTTGTTTTGAAGATTAAGTGGGGTCATGTTACGTGTTATAAAGTATATTTTTCTAGTTCAATAGGTTATCCACTTGGCTGTGAACACTTTAAAGGTAAACAAAATTTTCATGCCAATGTTTAACATAGGCAAAGGGTTTAACACTTTGTAGAATGCTTGGGTTATATAGGTGTTTTGTAAATATTTATGGTATTTATAAATATTTATTGCTTGTGTTAATTCTTGACATGTTTCAGATTTAAATGCCTTAGTAGAGCTGAGAAGCAGTTATAGTTAGGCATATTCTAATTTTTATATTTTTCTATTTTGTTTTGCTCACATTCTGGTATAAGTGAGAAGGGAACGTTCTGAGGGTCTGTGCTGTGAGGTATAGTTCACTGCAGTGTTGCTTAGTATTGTTTGGGATTTACCCAACTCACAGGCCTATAAAAGGGCACCTCTTGATATTTTGCATTGTGGCACCTGCACATTATATGCTGCGTTGCTGGAACTAGTAACATTTCAGAAGATTGTTAGAAGCAGAAATATATTTGCCAATTTTCCATTTTGTTGAGTAAACATAGGACACTTATAAAAATTGACCCTGTTCAAATATGATCACTTAAAAAAAAGAGGATTTAAATATGTAACATAGGAAGAAAATAACCTCAGAATAATTTTTTAAATGCTGTAACTTTATGATGTCTTTTTGCTATATTTGTCTTATTTGTTCATTTTGCTACACTAGTGAAAAGTTACTTTCACTGACATGGGTTGAGAGTCCAGTATTCAGCAGTAGTTGGAGAAAATTGTCAGTTTGACATTTACTAACTGTTTGAGTTTCAGTTTACCCACTTGTTACCTTATGGGGTTATTGTGCTTGTTACATGCAGTCACAAATGCATAATGTTTGGTATTTGTGATTTCAGTAATTGTTAATGGCTGCTGAGTAGTGAAAGAGTCAAAGAGAGACAGAGTTGGAGGCAAATGTAACCCCAAAGGCTAAATAAATCTCAAATTGTTCCTTTCTGCAACAATTAGAGACTGATTATGTTTCCAGAGATAGACTGATGTGTCAGGATCTGTAAGTGTGGAGTTAGAAGAACTATAAACAAGGATTAAGTTGAAGGCTAAAATCTCCAAAAAATAAAATCAAAAGGCTAGAAACTGTATGTGCATTAAGTTGAATGAGCCTCCCATGGGAATGACGTTACAGCCAATTTTGCTTTTAGTTCATGATAAACATCTTGAACTCAATAACTGAAAAGCACTGTGAGACATATGACTCAACAAAGAAAGGGTGTGGAGCCCAAATTACCTTAATCTCACAAGCCATAATTAATTACCTAAGAAGGAATTGTTCCACCCTGTAGAAACAACTGAAAAAATAGCTGCTCTCTTGTTAGCAGTGCAACTTCTAGTTGAACCTCTGCACGTTGCTGCTAACACAAACTAAATTGTGCATAATATTTACTCTAAATATGTTTGTAAACAGTGAATTTTTATTCATAATGCAATGGAAACCTGTGCAAGAAAATATTTTGCTTTTAAAGCAGCATCCTGGTCAGTGAGATTTTTAGTGTTTGCATTTAAACAGCAAAGCAAATATTCAGTTGTGAGGCATTTAACCATTTTCCCTCTCTTTCTGTTTTATTGACTTGAAAAAATTGCATGAAAATGGAAAATTTATCTTTTTATACTTTTATTGTGATAGCTTATCTGTCAGGCATTGTACATGTACATTATCAATCTTCACAATTTTTTCATAGCCTTGTGAATTCTGTGTTATGATTGCATTCTAAATATAGGGAAGGTGAGGCTCAGAAAGTGAATAACTTATGTTTATTCAGGAGTGACAGAGCTGGAAACAGAAACTAGGTAGATTTGAATAAAGAGACATGAACTTCCGCTCACATACACTTTCCTGAGTATTTTACTTCACACTCCAGGGAATGGAACAGCTTTGGGTTTCATGTCTCTCCTGACCTCACCTGGGGGAAGCAAAGGGAATCAACATCTATTAATAATATTTCTTAAGATATCTCTTCAGCCCAGACCTCTCTCTTTTAGCTCCACATCATCATTTCCAAGTACTAATTGAAAGTGTTATGGATGCTTTACAACCACCTTAAATAGAAAAGTTCAAAACTGAACTTGGTATTTTTTCTGCCATTGGTGATATGCCCAGGGTGGTATTAAACAATTTTTCTACAGGACATTTTTTCCAACTAAGACATAATCATTTCTCTTTTTTTTTTGAAGTTTCCTTTGTTATAATATCAGCCATGTCTTTCAAATGAAGAACCTGAGATACAAAAGATTTCTTTAATTAATTTTAAACTTCTAAGCACAGTGTTTAATTCCTACATCATAAAACACTTCTAAGGGGATGTGAAAAGGGAGCTGGACTAGAGATAGGAGATGTGGATTCAAGTACTCCTTCTGTCAAGTATAAGGTATGTGATCTTGCATTAATCATAACTATTTTAAGCTTCAGGTTTCAAAAAAAATCTTAAGTGATTCCTCATAATTTGATTTTTTAAATCAAATAAAACAATGTATATGCCAATGATGTGTAAACTAAAGATCACTGGAATTTAAGATATTATTATAGAAGAAACTGAAGTATAACAGCAAGATCTCTAGAACTGAAGATTTTTCTGCCAGTAACTGTTGTGTGAGCTTGGATGAGTCCTTTTAATATTGTGGAATCTTAGTCTTTGGTGACATGTTGGTGATAACAACAGTTATTGTACAGTATATTTTGTGAGAATTAGAGCAGATGACATGCATGCTGTATAAACTACAAAGGGCTAAATAACCATAAAAAACTTTTGAGAAAAATAAATTTTTATTTAGTTTAATTTAATTACTATGTGTTTATATTTTAACTTATACTATCAAGAGCAAAAACTGCGTTTCTTTAAAATATTCAGTTTCATCTGTTTACCAATTTACCTATTTCACCTTTTCTCCACAATTTTTATCTTGCTCTATATCATTCTTATCACACAGACAACTTTATAGTAAAGAAGAGGAATGTGTCGACACCTACCTCCATTAAGGTACTTTTGGAGTAGAAGAGTCAATACTAGTTTTGTACTCTTCTGTAGTAACTAATTTCTTAACTCTCTAGACTGGCTCTGCAAGAAATGCTCAAAGGAATTCTTAACATGGGAATGAAAGGTCATTACTCAACTATCATAAAAACAAATGAAAATATAAAACTCACATGTCTTATAAAACAATTACACAAATGAGAAAGAGAAAGACATAAAATGGCAACACAACAGAACTACACCAAACCATGCAGTTTATAAAACAATTACAGAAATGACAAAGAGAAAGAAATCAAATGGCTGCATGACAGAACTCCAACTATATGCCACTTACAAAAAAACTTACTGATAAAGACACTTATAGACTAAAGGCAAAGGTATAGAAAAATGTATTCCACACAAATAAAAACCAAAAGAGTGCAGAAGTAGCTATATTTATATCAGACAAAACAGGTTTTAAATCAACAACAGTAAAAAAAGCCAAAGAAAATTATTATATAATGATATAGTCAACTCAACAAGAAAATATAACAATCCTAAATATATACATATCCAGCACTGCAGCATCCACATTCATAAAACAAATATTACTATATGTAAGAAAAGAGATAAACAGGAATACAATAATGATGGAGAACTTCAACAGGATACAAAATCAATGTACTAAAATCAGTAGCATTTTTATACATCAATAATTACCAAGTGGAGAACCAAATCAAGAAGTCAATCCTATTTACAATAGATTAAAAAACAAAATACCTAGGAATATATCTAACCAAGAAGGTAAAAGATCTCTACAAGGAAAACTACCAAAGACTGATAAAAGAATTGGAGATTATACAAACAAATGGAAAACCACCCCATGCTCATGCATTGGAAAATCCAATGTCATTAAAATGACCATAATGCTCAAAGCAATCTACAAATTCAGTTAAATACCTATCAAAATACCAATGTTATTTTTTATAGAATTAGAAAAAGAAATCCTAAAATTCATATAAAACAACAAAAAATCAACAAATTGCCAAAGAAATTCTAAGCAAAAAGAGCAAAGCTGAAGATATCACATGATCTGACTTCAAATTATACTGCAAAGCTATAGTAACCAAAAGAAGATGGTGCCTGTATAAAAATAGACACATAGATCAATGAAACAGAATAGAGAATAAAGCCACATA